AAAATTTCAAGTAAAAAAAAAAGTTTATATTGGAAGTTGTCCATCAAAGTTTTTAATAATGTCCTCTAATGTTAACACTGTTGAAGAAACAATTTCTCCAACAAATCCAATATCTATAAAAAAATCGGAAAATACCATCGATTTATTAGAAGAAAGTAACAAAAAAAAATTTGATAAATGGCGAAAAGGCTTAATGTATTTTACAGGCTTAGGATTATCAGAAAAAGAAAAGGCAGAATACAAAATAGAATTAGAAAGAACAATAAAGAATTATCAACATGAAAAGTGTGAAAAATGGAAAGATGATTTAATGAAAAGAAGTATTTAGTTGGGTACATTTTTCTATTCTGTTTAAAAGCTAAAAAGAATTGATTTATCTATTTTAATTTTTTTTTTTTTTTAGGCGCAATTGTAGTGTTTATGTTAAAACATTTAGAAGATGCAGGATGTAAACCAGATAAAAAACATTTTAAATGCTTACCATGTGATAATACACGTAGCGGTGGATTTTCTCCTGATCATGGTATAATGTTGTGTCAAAATAGATTTACTAGTAAACGTCATATAGAAGATACAATGGTACATGAAATGATACATTTGTACGATCATTGCCGATTTAAAGTAGATTGGAATAGTTGTTATCATCATGCGTGTAGTGAGGTTCGTTATTCCTATTACATAACTATTGAAATTGTAATTATAACTTATAATATTTTTTTCATCATACTGTAAATAGGTTCGGGCTGCGGCTTTGAGTGGCGACTGTAAATGGACGCGTGAAATTAAACGTGGATTTTTTAATTTTACGAAACAACATCAGGTTCATCAATTAATGTCTTCCTTAAATATTCTTTCGTAATTGCAATTTTATTTATTTTCATACATTATTACATAAAGGCTTGCGTAAAGAGACGTGCTATACTCTCTGTTCAGAAGAACGCGTCTTGTTCAGCTCCTGGTGTTGCAGAAAGAGTGGTTACAGAAGTTTTCGAAAGTTGCTTTAACGACACACGTCCGTTTGATGAAATTTATTAAGAAGTCTTTTTAGATATAGCGATTAACGCTAAAGAATTATAATTTTTTAAATTGTGTAGTAAAGTATTATTGATAATATCAAAGATATTAATTTTATAAAATGTTAACGTGATGGTAGTGATCCTGGCCGATAGTGAAAAAATCGGCTTAGCCGGTCGATTTTTTTAAAAATCGGCTGATCGATTTCATTATGACATTCCAATGTAGAAAATGAACGAACTTAATCTTCCAAAGGATTCCGAAATTTTAATAAAAAATCGACTAAGCCGGCTAAGCCGATAAAATTTTATTAGCCGGTCGAAAAATTTTGATCGGCCAGGATCACTACGTGATGGTGTGCCTATGCAGCATACACATTATGTGTTGTACAAAATTTGCTATACGTAGGAAATTGATTACAAATTCTGGTCTGATCATAACCCAAAAAAAATCAAATACGGGGGATGGCTAAAGCCATGTTGTACCTTAGGGTTAGTTTTTTTGATGTAGTTAATAGTTTTATTTATATATAGATATCAAGAATTTATGCAATAAGTAGATTTATAGGTACATGGCAAAAAAAAAAGCATATTGAAATACGTAATAGTTAGTATTAATTGCAATGAATTTATTTTACATCCAATCGGAAGTGGGGCATCCTTAATTTAGTAATTACAAACATTTACCATATAACGATAACGATAAATTTCTATATTAATTTATACCAATAACGATAACAAACGAACCTGTTACAGTCTGCACGCGCTATATACGCGCTAGAGTGTCAGAATTCTGCGGTCCATTAATCACTCTAAAAATATTTTTGCTACGAATTGTTTTCGTAAGATAAACGTGACTTGGATGGATCATTTTTTCAAATCAATCAAATACGTACAATACAAATAATGAGAAGATTTATGTATCGCATGATTTCTGGATACTCTAACTGTTAATACAGTAATACGCGCATACTTAGTTACTATATAACACTGTTATATAACATTTTAGAAATAGAATAAACTTTAACAGTTCGATACTGAAATAATGACTGAAACCATGACTAATGAAACTAAATGTACTTGGGCAACAAGCACAGCCTATCCGCACCCTCATCATCACGAAGAGCAGTAAGTCACACTTTTGTGTATAAACAAACGCAAAATATTATATTTGATCTCTCTTTTTTTTTTATGACAAATTGAATATTAGATACTTGACTCATCAGTTGAAATTTTACTTATACATTTAAGCTTACCTGAACCACCGATTCTAGATAGTGTACTTGATCATATTGGAAATACGCCTCTCGTGAAAATTAATAAAATCACAAAATCTGAAGGAATTGAATGTGAAATTTGTAAGTATTTTTTGAGTTTTTTTTTTTTTTCCTTTAGTAATTTTAATCATTATAATAATTTAAAAAATCTCTTGATTTATTTATAAATGCAAATACAGTGGCAAAATGTGAATTTTTTAATGCAGGAGGGTCTGTAAAAGATCGGATTGGAAAACGCATGATTGAAGAAGCAGAAAGAGCTGGAATCATAAAACCTGGATACACATTAATTGAACCAACTTCTGGAAATACTGGCATTGGAATCGCATTAGCTGCCGCTGTAAAAGGATATCGTGCGATCATTACTCTTCCGGAAAAAATGAGTCAAGAAAAAGTATATAAATTTACATATTTCATCATTCACTAAAAATTATTTTCGTGACTCATATTATAAACTTGTCCCATTTAGGTTGATGTACTTAAAGCGCTTGGCGCAGAAATTATTCGTACACCAACTGAGGCTGTATGGGATTCACCAGAATCTCACATTGGGGTTGCTAAACGCCTTAACAAGGAAATTCCAAATTCTGTTATTTTAGATCAATATTCTAATCCATATAATCCTATAGCTCACTACGATCATACCGCGGAAGAAATTTTGAAATCTTGTGATGGAAAGATAGATATGTTTGTTGCGGGTGCAGGTACTGGAGGAACTATTACTGGTGTTGCTAGAAAGTTAAAAGAAAAGTGTCCAGGGGTTAAGATTGTTGCTGTCGATCCAATCGGATCGCTTCTTGCTGAGCATGATCTTAATGCTCCAGTGGTTCCATACTTGGTAAAAATCGATTACTTAAACACAATTATAAATTTGTTTATTTTGATCGAACTATAATGTTAATCAGTATTATTTCTAGGTTGAAGGTATTGGTTATGACTTTATTCCTGAGTCACTTGACCACAGCGTAATTGATGAATGGATAAAATCAAACGATAAAGATTCTTTCATAATGGCTCGTCGTCTAATTCGTGAAGAAGGAATTTTGTGTGGTGGTTCATCCGGTTCCGCATTGTGTGCTGCGATTCAAGCCGCTAAAACATTAAAAAAAGGTCAACGATGTGTTGTTCTATTGGCCGATTCGGTACGGAACTATATGACTAAATTCCTGAACGATGATTGGATGAAAGCTCATGGTTTTATCGATGAAGCCTCGAAAAAAGAAGAGGAAACAAAGATTAAACAATGGGGTGGTGCTACAATTCGTGACCTTAACCTCAAAGTGGCTATCACTATCGATGCAGAATCTCATTGTAAGGAAGCTATCGAATTGTTGAATCAGAATGGATTCGATCAGTTACCTGTCACATCATCATCACGTAATAAGCTTGTCGGGTTAATCACTCTTGGTAATCTTTTGTCACGGATTTCTAGAGGAAGAGCAACGCCTGACTCTCCTGTGAAGGATGTGATGTTCAAGTTTGTTAAGGACAAAAATTATGAGGAAATCACATGCGATACACCACTAGAAAAGTTGACTAGATTTTTTGAACATCATAGTTCCGCTGTTGTTACAGAGCGTGAAAATGGTGAGCTCATACCTAAGCATGTTGTAACAAAAGTGGATTTGTTATCGTTTTTGGTCAAAAACTAAATAATTATTTATTAAAAATTTACATTACAACCTCTTTTTTTTAACTTAATTAAGATTGGCCATTAATACAAAGACCCGTAATTTTTAAAAAAATAAATAAAAATAAATTATTTTTCATTTTTAGCAATCTTAGTACATATTTTCAATTAGCCCATACAAACTTAATTAAATCAGACCCGGCCGGCCGGCTTTTTTTTAAATTTATATATATAAATTGAAAATTACTTACAGCTGTTTTCATAAATTCTGGGACATCTGGCAAAAAATGGTCCGAACAAATATTGCCGGTTCGATAAGTTTGT